GGCCCAAGGAAGGTAGATTTTCTGACTAAGCTCTAAATCCTTCTCCCTGAGGCATTATCCCTTGGCCTGGGTGAACTGAAGTTTCCAGCAGGAGCCACAGAGATTTGAGATGTGACCTTGGTAGCAGGAATGTCTCAATAAAGGGATAAAGAAGCAAAAAATAATTATGTACCTTTACAAGCAGGGAACCAATTTTTAAGGCACCTTAATTTGTAGTGCCCATGGATCAAGCTGCCTAGCACACATGGATGCTAAATGAGTCTCCCACCAATCCCTTGTGGGTCTCAGTGGCTTGAAGAGACTCCTCCTGGAGGCCACTCCAGGAGCAGGCTGTCTAGTGCCCTTACCCTGTGATTCTCAGCCTTTAACCACCCGTTACCTCTTTTGCAGATTGCCATGATCTCGCCAGGCATAAGCTCCTGTGAATACACTTTAAACACACTAAGATATGCGGACAGGTACTAGTACCTTCAGCCAGGTGTGATAGAGGGAAGGACAGGGGAAAGGAATGGCAGTGGGATGAGAGGTGTGGAGGCTCTGGGGCCACAGTGCCTACTGTATACTCTCTGTGACTCAGTGAATCTGAGGCTTGGGAGTTCAGCCAAGCTAGGTCTGTTCCCATCCCCTTCAGGGCTTGGTGGGGAGTCAGCAGTGCAAAGGGGTCTTTTCCAGTCCAGCTCCAGTTTATGCCACCTCTCCTTGGCCAGAGGCAAAGCTGCTACTCCCTCCCCTTGGAGCCTGAAGGCTTGCAGCCTGAGTGGCACTGCACTCTTGTGGTGAGTGCCCAAAGGGCTGTTGTGGGATCTGAGACTTTCTTGTTTCCTCAGGGTCAAGGAGCTGAGTCCCCATAGTGGGCCCAGTGGAGAGCAGCCAATTCAAATGGAAACAGAAGAGATGGAAGCCAGCTCTAATGGGGCCCTGATCACAGGCAATGTAAGGAGGCAGGGTGGGGCCACACAAGACAAATGTGGCCTGCCGAGGTGGGAACCAAGCCATACTGTTGTCTCTCTCCTCTTGGCCCCCTTAGTTCTCCAAGGAAGAGGAGGAACTGTCTTCCCAGATGTCCAGCTTTAACGAAGCCATGACCCAGATCAGGGAGCTGGAGGAAAGGGCCATGGAAGAGCTCAAGGAGATCATCCAGGTGGGGCATGGCTCTGACTCTGGCCAGAGTGCTCAGCACCATTCCTAGAACAGGAGCTGGGCCTTGCTCCCATGAACTTCAGGTTGGGGTGGCAAGAGGCAGCCCTCTACACTAGCATTTCTTAATTCTCTGCCTGTTAATCCAGCTGTACTTCTAGGGCAGCTAATTACCACACCCCCTTCTCCAGCCTGGCATACATAGGCTTCCCTACATCCTCCTAGCTGGAGCCAGTCTCTCTCCTCCATGTTCCTGATTGAGGGTTAGAGGGTGATTCATATGCAGGAATCTTATCTTTATTTGGTGAATGTTCCAGCCTGCACTGAAACCAAGGACCAGAAACATCAAGTATAGGTAGTAGCCCTAAAGTAAGACTTGAGATCAATACTGACTCTTCTGTTTACAAGCTGATTTCCCTGTGAAAGTCATTTTAGCCTCACTGGGCCTGGTTTCTTCATCCCTAAAATAGGCAAGACAAGATGGTTGTATTTGAGGCCTAAGTAATATGCTTATAAAGCATCAGCACAGTGCCCAGCATGTGGTCAGTGTTTAAGTGGTAGATCTACAATCTATTGCTGCTACAATCCTGCTGTGGAAGAAATGAGGGTAGGCATGAAAGTACATCCTAATGGGGCACTCAGAGGATTGCAGAGCAGAAAGGAAGAACTTGGGGCACTTGTAACTGAGGAGGGAGTGTGAAGGATAAGTTCTTAGGCAAGTCCTCCCCTGCCTGGAGTGCTCAGGGGTACAGAGGTTTGAAAGGACATGGCACTTTCAGTACAAATGAGAGGTTCACTATGGTCAGAGCAAAAGGTGTGAGCAGATAACGGAGGGAGGTTAAGGCTGTACACAGATCAGTAGGGACCTGATGCTAAAGAGCCTTGTATATAGTTTATACCAAAGGCCTGGACTTCATGAAAGCAACAGAAGCCTTTGAAGGGAGTAAGCACAATGGTGACAAAGTTATATCAGACATTTAGATATGCCACTGTGGGCACAGTGTGGAGCCTGGTTTGGGGGCTTAGAAAGAGAAAAGGTAGAGGCAGGAGGTTGTTGGAAAGAGTTCAAGAAAGATGTTGCCTAAACTGAGGTGTGCCCATGGCCATGGGATTGGAGTAAGGGCATGAGTTTCAAGCACCATTTAGAGTGGAACTGGCAGGATTTGATGACAAGTGGGGGGAAAGAATAACATTGTTGCTCAGATTTCTTGGGCATCAGGACCAATGATGTCATTCATTTGACATAGGGGATAGGGATAACTTTAGGGTAGGAAGAGGATGAATTTGAGCCAAGGATTTCCCATGGGAGAGTGTCAGGAGACGGGGCATGTGCCATGGATAGAGGTGTGGCATCTTGCATAGGCATCTGCACTGCAGTGGGTAGGGTCCCAGGAATGCTTTGCTAAAGTGATTTGGTCATTACTGAACTGACAAGGTCCTCCCTGT